GAGAGAGAGAGAGAGAGAGAGAGAGAGAGAGAGAGAGAAGAGACAGAAAGAGAGAGAGGGGGGGGGAGACAGACAGACAGACAGAAAGAGCGAAAAAGAGAAAGCGAAGCAAAACTTGACCATTTTAAAATTACGCAGAGGATTTCTACCGAATTATCGTCGCTGCCACGGCAACGCAAAACCCAACGAACACATTAAAGGAAAAATAACTTTAACCGCAGAAATCGGAGGCGAGACGACGGGAACCGACGCGCGCGCGCAGAACAGCGCCACCTGCCAACGCGTGGCGCCACCTGCCTACGCGTGGCGCCACCTGGCGTGCTCACCGTTCGTTATGATCTGGTTCGGTTCGAACGACAGCTCCGACTCGTTCTCCGCGTCGCACATGTAGATCGTGCGCACGCGTCTGAAAAAAACACACGACACACACATCTTAAACTTCGGAATCGGAACTCGCTCCACAACAACAAACGCACAGACGCACGTGAGCTACTGAGGAGGCACGAGATTCGGCGGCCGGTCGTCGTTGGAAACAAGCGAGCAGTCGGGACGTCGCGGAGATTCAAACTCACGACAGCTGCTCGGATGTTTTCGACGACGACGACGAAAGAAGCGGGGCGACGGTCTTCGATTCTACAGAGTCGAGTCTAGCAGGGAAGAGTCAGCCATAATTTTTATTACCATGGTTACGACGTTGGCGTCTTCAGACACGACATTCACGATAACGATCGTTCGATGATTATAATTTAGCGATGGAAATCGGGGCGACGCCACGACGATTTTACTCAAGTTCGATATTTTGCCGTATATACAGCGATTGCATACAGTCTCTACGAATCTCATCACACATTTATTACTAAATATTATAATTTATAACTGTACATTATAATTTAATGCTTCATTTATTACTAAATATTTTAATTTACTACTATATATTAGAATTCATTGTTCTATCTATTATTACACAATCATGATAACTCATTTCAGAATTTATTACTTTTATATCATAATTCATTACCGCATTTTATTCTCATACATCATAACTAATTCATGTAACTATTACAACATATCGCAATTTATCGCTGTATTTTAACTACAACAGCAACCAAGGCAATCGGCAGTAATTTTGCGCTGCCCCCCCACCCCTCAGCGGTGGTTAGTTCGCGCAGATGCAAGACTGTCTCAACGCAAGGAGCTAAATATAACGAGGAGAGGAAGCGGATTGGCTGTGCGCTTTTCGCCTCAAGGGCGCCATCTATGGACCATAATCAGCTGAAACGGCTGTGCAGACCGAACCCAGCGACAATAGGACACTGATCTGTTCTAGGGTCTCTGCCGAACCCAAATTTGGGCCAGATATGGCGGCGCTTCCTCTCCTTGTTATATTTATCTCCTTGCCTCAACGTACAGATGTTAATGCAAGCAGAATCACCGCCTCCGTCACCAGCAGCGTCGCTAGATGACGACTAAAAATCCCGGAAGCTTCCCAGAAGAGCGTGTGCGAGAACCGCGCTGTGAAGCCATGCTGAGCTTCAGGCTTCCTTTCAGACTAGGAGAACTTTGTCTCGCGAGACGTAGATTTGCGTCTCCGTGAGACAAGCCCTCCCCTTCGTACGTAGCGGCGAGAGCCACCGTCAACCATTCCCGGCAACCGTCCGCGGTGCAGAGCGGCGTCTTAAGGATAGCAAGGCTTACTGTACCGCACACTGACGGGGCGTGATAGATATAGCGAAGCAAGCGACCACGGCGAAGCGGGTGTATGTGGACGCGGCGAGATTGAAGGGGGCTGGCGGGGGTGGGCGGGGGCTGGGCGGGGGTTAGGCGGGGGCTGGCGGGGCGTGTTAGACAAGCAAGCGGCAGCAGCGGGGGCCGGCGGGGATGACGTACTGTACTGACCTCGTAGATGATTGCTGTATGCTCCCCAGGCTGGCCGCACTACTGTTTGACACAGCGAGCCAGCGAGCGAGAGCGAGAGCGAGAGC